TTCATCCTTACCAATCTGCCGGCTGCAGAGTCCTTGAGGAGACAAAATTTCGCCTTCACATTGAGAGTGTTCTCCTTAGTGTAATGCTAAAAAGGACAGATTTCAAACAGATCTAGCAACTCAAGACTGGAGATCCATGAGACATGGTGGGTCATCAGCAGCAGGACAGAAATATAGAAACAGAGAAAATAGGATAAGGAGTAGGCCTTTGGGCCCACGAACACTGCTCTACCATTCAATATGATCATGGCTGAACATCCGACTCAGTACACTGTTCCTGCTTTCTTCTATACCATTTCATCCCTTTAGCCCTAAGAACTCATGGGAGATGGGCATCACTGGCTGACCAGCACTTATTGTCCATCCCACATTCCCTTTGAGAAGCTGGTGGTGAGCCGCCTTCTTGAACCACTGCAGTCCCTGTGTTGTGGGTTGACCCATAATGCCCTTGGGGAGGGAATTCTACAATGTTGACCCAGCGACGGTGAAGGAATGGTGGTATATTTCCAAGTCAAGATAGTAAATGACTTGGAGGGTAACTTGCAAGTGGTGATGTTTCTATGTATTTGCTGGCCTTATCCTTCTAGATGGAAGTGGTCGTGAGTTTGGAAGGTGCTGTCTGAGGATCTTTGGTGAATTTCTGCAGTACATCTTGTAGATAGTACACACTGCTGCTACTCAGTGACAGTGGTGGAGGGAGTGGATGTAGTTGGATGTGGTGCCAATCAATTTCTGTCTAAATGGCCTACTTCAAATCCTTAAACTTTGACTCTTGTGTTTGGACTCCCTGGTCATTGGGAACATCTTCCTTTTTTTTTACTGTCTGGTCATGTTAGCATTTTATAGGTCTCTATGAGATTCCCCCTTATTCTTCTAAACTCCAGATCTAGTGTCTCCTCATAATATCAGTCCCACCATCCAGGAATCAATCTGGTAAACCTTTGTTGCCCTCCCTCTATAGCCAGAACATCCTTCCTCAGATAAGGAGACCAAAACTGCATACAATACTCCAGGTATGGTCTTACCATTGCTCTGTACAATAGCAGCAAGCCATTTCTGCTCCTGCACTCGAATCCTCTTGCTATGAAGGCCAACATACCATTTACCTTCTTCACCGCCTGCTGCACCTGCATGTTGACTTTCATGACTGTGGTGTACAAGGACACCTAGGTCTTGTTGCACATCCCCCTTTCCCAATCTATCTCCATTCAGATAATAATTCACCTTCCCGTTTTTGCTCCCAAAGTGGATAACCTCCTCACACTTATCCACATTATACTGCAACTGCCATGAATTTACCCACTCACTTAATTTTACCAAATCATACTGAAGCATCTGTGTATCCTCCTCATGGTCAGGTGAGAGACTTAGAGACATTGTATTTAATCTCTCATCTAAATCATTAATATATATTGTGAATAAAGTTGTCATACTCCCAGAGGACCATGGACTACTCTCTCATTAGAGATAGGTGGTTGGATGTCAGGGTCACTACATCTCAGGCAAGAGATGAAAGTGAAAAGGTGGGGCCTTCACAGTAACCTCAGTTGGTGCATGAATTGAACCTGCACTATTGGTATCACTCTGCATCACAAACCAGTCTTCCAGCCAACTAAGCAAACCAAATAACGGGTCTAAATACTGTTCACTGTGGTACCCCATAGTCACTGGTTGCCACTCAGAAAAAGACACATTTATTCCTGCTCTTTGTTTCCTGTCTCCCAGTTAGTCTGTACCAGACAGTACACTACCTCAATTCCATATGCTTTAATTTTACATGCTAATCTCTTATGCAGGACCTGATTGAAAGCCTTCTCGAAGTCCAAGGAAACAATCATAATCAAAAGAGAAAAGGAAAAGGAACAAGTTGGTCATGCCCTCAAGCCTACTCCGCCATTCAATAGGATCATGGTTGATCCTATATTCCTCATCCCACTCTCTTCTCCTTTCCCTGTAACCCCTGATTCCCCAACTATCCATCTATCTTAGCCTTAAACATACAGAAGAACTCTGCCTCCACAGCTCTCTACAGCAAGGAGCTCCAAACAGTCACAACCCTCTGAGAGAAGAAATTCCTCCTCATTTCAGTCTTAAATTGATGCCCCTTTATTCTGAGACTCTGCCCCCTGATCCTAGACTCTCCCATGAGGAGAAACACCCTCTCAGCATTTACCCTGTCAAACACCTAAAGAATCCTTTATGGTTCAGTGAGATCACCTCTCATTCTTCTAAACTCCAGTGAGTAGAGTCTCAACCTGTTTAGCCTTTGCTTATAAGACAATTCCTCCATACCGGGGATCATCCTAATGAACCATTGCTGAACTGCTTCCAATGAAATTATATCTTTCTTTAAATAAGGGGACTAAGACTGCTTACAGTAGTCCAGATGTGGTCTCACCAGCACCTTGCCCAGTTGCAGTAAGAATTCCCTATTATTAAACTCCAGCCCACTTGAAATATGGCCCAACATTCTTTTGACGTTCCTGATTACCTGCTGTTCTTGTGAGCGAGCTTTCTGCGTTTTGTGCAGAAGTCCCCCCAAGTCCCTTTGTGTTGCAGCTTTCTGCAGGTTTTCTCCATTTAAATAATATTCTGTTCTTTTGTTCTCCCCTCCAAAATGAACAGCTTCATATTTTTCCATATTATACTCCATTTGCCAATTTCTTGCCCACTTACTTAACCTATAAATATCTTTCTGTAGAGACAAAAAAAACACAGATGCTGGAATCCAGGGTAGACAAACAGGAGGCTGGAAGAACACAGCAAGCCAGGCAGCATCTGGAGGAAAGGAGCAGTCAATGTTTTGGGTATTACCCTTCTTCAGGACTGGATGTGGGCGTAGGGGGAGCTGCAGATAAAGAGAAGGGAGGTGTGGAGGCGGTATGATGGTGATAGGTGGACACTGGTGGTAGGTACAACCTGGTTGGTCGATAGGAGGGATGAATCTGGTTTGTGGCAGGAAGGGAGGGCCAGAAGGTAGAATGCAAGGGAGGAGATGGGGCTGGAAGGGGAGCCGGGGGATGGGTGGGAAATTTATTTAAAATTGGAGAACCCAACCCTCAGCTCCCTTTCCAGCCCCACCTCCTCCTTTCCATTCCACCTACTGACCCTCTCTTCTAGCCACCAACCAGATTCATCCCTCCCATCGACCAATCAGGTTGTACCTCATTCCAGTGTCCACCTATCACCACCATTCTGCTACACCCCTCCTCTGCCTCTCTTTATCTGCAGCTCCCCCTACCCCCACATCCAGTCCTGAAGAAAGGTAATGCCCGAAACATTGACTGCTCCTTTCCTTCAGATGCTGCCTCACTTGCTGTGTTCTTCCAGCCTCCTGTTTGAATATCTCTCTGTAAACTGTTTGCATTCCTCTCACAACTTGCAATTCAACCTATTTTTGTATCATCTGTAAATTTGGCTACAGTACATTCACTTTCTCCCTCCAAGTCATTAATAGATATTGTCAACAGTTACAATCCTAACACTGATCCCTGTGGAACCCCACTGGTCAGGGGTCAGCAATCTAAAACAGAACCCCTTATCCACATTCACTGTCTCCTGCCCATGAGCCAATTCCCTAACCAAGGTTATATACTATCTCCAACACAGTGGGCTCTTTTATGACTTAACCTTTTGTGGGGTACCCTGTTGAACGCCTTCTGGAAGTCCAAATATAACACTTCTGCTGGTTCCCCTCCATCCAGTCTGGTTGAGCTTTCCTCACAAAACTTTAATAAATCAGTCAGACATGATTTCACTTTCATGAAGCCATGCTGACTCTGCTTGATTAGTTGGAATCAATAGAAATTGGCTGGACCTGTCAAATGTTAATTCTGATCTCTCTCTGTTTGCACCTTCTCTGTGGCTGCAACACTGTATTCTGCACTCAGTTCTGGCTTCCCTGATGTACTCTGCATGGTACGATCTGCCTGTAGAGCACACAAAGCAACACTTTTCACTGTATCTCAGTACATGTGGAAACAATAAATATTTAAAAATTGGTCAAAAACACTCCATTGGTTGGAGTCATACCTGGCACATAGGAAGTTGTTTATGATTGTTGGCTTCAGGATATCTCTGCAGGAGTTCCTCAGGGTAGTGTCCTAGACCCAACCATCTTTAGCTGCATCATCAATGACCTTTCTTCCACCATAAGGTCAGAAATGGGCATTTTCGCCGATGATTGTAAGTGTTCAACACTATTCACTACTCCTCAGATACTGAAGCAGTTCATGTTCAAATGCAGCAAGACCTGGACAATATCCAGGTTTGGGCCAACAAGTGGTAAGTAACATTACCCAGGGCATTACCCTGAGGAATTCCTGCAGAGATGTCCTGGAGCTGAAATGATTGATCTTCAACAACCACAACCATCTATGCACCAGACACGACTCCAACCAGCAGAGAATTTTCCCTTCAATTGCCATTCATCTTTGTTTTGCTAGAACATCTTAATGCCGCACCTGGTTGAATTTGGCTTTTGTACAAAGGGACATTTTCAGGGGCACTTTCCTGGATGAGTGCAACTCCAATAACACTGAAGAATCATTCAGGACAAAGCAGCTGCTTGATTTGCACTACATCCACCACCTTCAAGATTCACTCCTTCACACCTGCCTTAAGACGGGTGAACCTCTCCATTGGTTACCCATTTTAGCTGTCCTCCCGGTGTCCCATTACAGCTGGGAGTTTCCGCTGAATGGAGACTGATCTGAGAGATGCCAGAAAGCTGCAGATTGAGTGATATGATTTATTGTCCTGCACCCGGATGTATGATCGGCTCAGGAGCCCCATTATCTCTAGCCTCCAGTCAGCTCTATTGATTGTTACACTTGAATAGCCAAAGGCAAAGGCCCACAATACAGTCACTGAATGAACAGAGTAATCAAGTTTTTTGTCACCAATACTGGCAAGAGGAGTGGTGTTATGTTATAAAGTCATCTCTCACTCAATGACACTTGGCAAGAGGTGATTTAAACACAAGAGAAACATTTACCCACCTGACGCTCTGTGTGCTTGCCATGAATCTCCACAAAGTCATCAACAAGTTTCACAGTCAGTTCCTCAGGTAAGAAGTGTTTGACATTCAGGTTAATCATAAATCTGTCCTTCTCAGAGCGTACCTGAAACACAATATTTGTAAGCAGTAACACACAGCACTTTCAGACCCATCTTGGAACTTCCTGGATAGATTACAGCAGGACCTGAATCACTCTTCCCAAGTGTTACCTGTAAGGAAAATCATTCAAAAATTTTGTAAAAACCTGTGGTGTATGCAAAACAGAAAACAGACCATTCAGCCCATCTAGTTGGTGTTGATGTTTATATATCTCTCAAGCATGCTGACCAATCAGACCTACCCACCTTATCCACCATATCATTTCATCACCTTCTCCCACATCCAATTTATCTCCAATGTTAAGTTTCTGGCTCAATCTCTGACCTTTGAGGTAAATTCCACAGATTGTTATGAAGAATTTCTCCTACACTCTGTTCTAAACCTCTTCAATGTAATCTTGTCGCTCTGCCCACTTGCTTGATACCTCTTATGAATAAGAACAATTTGCTTCTATCTCTCTTTCCTTCCTTTCACAATTGTAACTCTTCTGTTATCACTCTGATCTGGGAATGTAGAGAATGCTTTTCTTTATGTTGAGCCCTGTGTTGTCACAGTCCTGAGAGTGTTTGATAGGAACAGTATGGAGGAAGCTTTACTCTATATCTAACTCTGTGCTGTCCCTGTCCCTGGGAGTGTTTGATGGGGACAGTGTATAGGCAGCTTCCAAGCCTGTGCTGATCCAGATCCTCTATCTAAACCTGTCACCTATTTTCCAAGGATCTGTATCCCTCTGCTCCCTGTCCATTCATGTATCTGTCTAGATACATCTTAAATGACGCTATCATGCCCGCCTCTACCACCTCTGCTGGCAACGCATTCCAGGCACCCACCACCCTCTGCGTAAAGAACTTTCCACGCATATCTCCCTTAAACTTTTCCCCTCTCACCTTGAAATCGTGACCCCTAGTAATTGAGTCCCCCACTCTGGGAAAAAGCTTCTTGCTATCCACCCTGTCTATACCTCTTATGATTTTGTAGACCTCAATCAGGTTCCCCCTTAACCTCCATCTTTCTAATGTAAATAATCCTAATCTACTCAACCTCTCTTCATAGCTAGCGCCCTCCATACCAGGCAACATCCTGGTGAACCTCCTCTGCACCTTCTCCAAAGCATCCACATCCTTTTGGTAATGTGGCGACCAGAACTGTACGCAGTATTCCAAATGTGGTCGAACCAAAGTCCTATACAACTGTAACATGACTGCCAACTCTTGTACTCAATACCCCATCCGATGAATGAAAGCATGCCGTACGCCTTCTTGACCACTCTATCCACCTGCGTTGCCACCTTCAGGGTACAATGGACCTGAACACCCAGATCTCTCTGTGCATCAATTTTCCCCAGGGCTTTTCCATTTACCGTATAGTTCGCTCTTGAATTGGATCTTCCAAAATGCAATACCTCGCATTTGCCTGGATTGAACTCCATCTGCCATTTCTCCGCCCAACTCTCCAATCTATCTATATTCTGCTGCATTCTCCGATAGTCCCCTTCACTATCTGCTACTCCACCAATCTTTGTGTCATCTGCAAACTTGCTAATCAGACCATCTATACCTTCCTCCAGATCATTTATGTATATCACAAACAACAGTGGTCCCAACATAGATCCCTGTGGAACACCACTGGTTATAGTTCTCCATTTTGAGAAACTCCCTTCCACTACAACTCTCTGTCTCCTGTTGCCCAGCCAGTTCTCTATCCATCTAGCTAGTACACCCTGGACCCCATGCGACTTCACTTTCTCCATCAGCCTACCATGGGGAACCTTATCAAACGCCTTACTGAAGTCCATGTATATGACAGCCACAGCCCGTCCCTCATCTATCAACTTTGTCACTTCCTCAAAGAATTCTATCAAATTGGTAAGACATGACCTTCCCTGCACAAAACCATGCTGCCTATCACTAATAAGCCCATTTTCTTCAAAATGTAAATAGATCTAATCCGTCAGTATCTTCTCCTGCAGCTTCCCCACCACTGACGTCAGGCTCACCGGTCTATAATTACCTGGATTATCCTTGCTACCCTTCTTAAACAAGGGGACAACATTAGCAATTCTCCAGTCCTCCGGGACCTCACCCATGCTCAAGGATGCTGCAAAGATATCTGTTAAGGCCGCAGCTATTTCCTCTCTCGCTTCCCTCAGAAACCTGGGATAGATCCCATCCAGACCTGGGGATTTGTCCACCCTAATGCCTTTTAGAACACCCAACACTTGCCCCCTCCTTATGCCGACTTGACCTAGAGTAATCAAACATCTATCCCTAACCTCAACATCCGTCATGTCCCTCTCCTCAGTGAATACCGATGCAAAGTACTCATTAAGAATCTCACTCATTTTCTCTGACTCCTCGCATAACTCCCCTCCTTTGTCCTTGAGTGGGCCAACCCTTTCTCTAGTTACCCTCTTGCTCCTTATGTATGAATAAAAGGCTTTGGGATTTTCCTTAACCCTGTTTGCTAAAGATATTTTGTGACCCCTTTTAGCCCTCTTAATTCCTCGCTTCAGATTGGTCCTACTTTCCCGATATTCTTCCAAAGCTTCGTCTGTTTTCAGTCGCCTAGACCTTATGTATGCTTCCTTTTTCCTCTTTGCTAGTCTCACAGTTTCACCTGTCATCCATGGTTCCCTAATCTTGCCCTTTCTATCCCTCATTTTCACAGGGACATGTCTGTCCTGCACTGTAATCAACCTCTCTTTAAAAGCCTCCCACATGTCAAATGTGGATTTACCCTCAAACAGCTGCTCCCAATCCACATTCCCCAGCTCCTGTCGAATTTTACTATAGTTGGCCTTCCCCCAATTCAGCACTCTTCCTTTAGGACCACTCTCGTCTTTGCCCATCAGTATTCTAAAACTTACGGAATTGTGGTCACTATTCCCAAAGTAATCCCCTACTGAAACTTCAACCACCTGGCCGGGCTCATTCCCCAGCACCAGGTCCAGTATGGCCCCTTCCCGAGTTGGACTACTTACATCCTGCTCTAGAAAACCCTCCTGGATGCTCCTTACAAATTCTGCACCATCTAAACCCCTAACACTAAGTGAATCGCAGTCAATGTTGGGAAAGTTAAAATCTCCCATCACCACCACCCTGTTGTTCCTACATCTTTCCATAATCTGTCTACATATGTGTGCCTCTATCTCATGCTCGCTGTTGAAAGGACTGTAGTACAGCCCCAACATTGTTACTGCACCCTTCCTATTTCTGAGCTCTGCCCATATTGCCTCACTGCTCAAGTTCTCCATAGTGCCCTCCTTCAGTACAGCTGTGATATCCTCTTTGACCAGTAATGCAACTCCTCCACCCCTTTTACCTCCCTCTCTATCCCGCCTGAAGCATCTATATCCTGGGATATAGACTGTTTGACAGGGAAAGTGTGGAGAGAACATGCTACCATTAAGTAGTGCCATATCCCCAGGACCAGGCAGCTTGATGAAGAGTTTGAAAGAAAGTAGGTGAGGGCTCTGTAATAACAGATAATCATCTTCCAAAGTTCAATTGATACTGGAAGTGTTCCTTATGTTTTGTAGAATGCACATTACTCTGCTATTTAAAAAAGGTGAGAGTGTGAATCTGGGAATTAATGACCATTTAGCCCAACATTTACTGTCTGCTAATTACAAGATTATTTATGACAGAGTGACTAAATATCTGCCAAAGTTTCAGCTGATCAGAGAGAGCAGTGAATTATAAAGGTGTGTCATACATGAATCAGAACAAATTTTTGGAGTGAATAATGCAGTAGACTGGTGAGTGTGAGAATGTCATTTATATGGATTTCCAGAATGTGCTTAATAAAGTACCTCAGAGGAAACTGTGAATCAAAGCTGTAGCTCATGGAATTGAAGACAAGTTATAGAATAGGATGGTTTGGGCTTCTTGTGGTGCCGTGGAAGTATCCCTCCCATTGAGACAGGAAGGCCCAGGTTCAAATCCCAAAACAGAGCACCTTCAATCAATTCCCATTCCCCTGCCAGTCTCTCCATCTCCAAACTCCACCACCCACCATTTCGGACATGCCCTATCCCTCATCTAGTGACACCCTCACACCGTCTCCCTCACCACAACCCCCTTCCTCACTATCACCCTTTCTCACTCACCATCACTCTAATCTTCAATGTTACGCTCTCCCTCACCATCTCCCTCTTCTTCACTCACAACCTTTCCCCCACTCACACCCTCGCTCACCATCACCCCCATCTTCAACATTACTCTCTTGCTCACCATCACCCTCTTCCTCACCATCTCCCTCTTCCTCACTTTCAACCTTTCCCCACTCACATCCTTGCTCACCCTCACTTCCATCCTCACCATCACCCTCTTCCTCACCATCTCCCTCTTCCTCACTCACCTTTCCTCCACTGGACACCCTTACTCATCATCACCTCCATCCTCAACATTACTCTCTCCCTGACCATCTCCCTCTTCCTCACTCACAACCTTTCCCCCACTCACACCCTCGCTCAACATCATCTGTCTCTCACTCACACTCCCTTCCTCATTCACACCCCCTTCGTCACACACACCCCCTCCCTCACTCACATCCCCTCCTTCACTCACATTTTCCCTTCCTTACTAACATCTCCCTTACCTCACTCACATGCTCTTCGTCACTCATAGCCCATCCCTCACTCATATCCCTCCTTCACTCACAATCCCCTCTTTCTCTGACTTTTTCACTGTGCCCATAACAGGAGAAATGGAAATCTTTCATCTCAAGCTGAATAAAATTATTTGCTGTGTTAACTTTCTTCTATAAGGTATTGATTAACTCAATGTATGTTGACCTGGAAACTTCAGTAGAATTAGTCATTTAACAATATCTGAACAAATACACACAACGTTTCAGACAGATGTCACTCATTCTTATTGGAGTTACTGTTGCTGCATGAATCATTAAGTAACAAACTTTTCAGTTAAAAACAAAGATCTTTACCTCAGATATGCCCGAGTCCAGAAAGTTCCGGAATACTGGCAGCCTGTAGTAGGGGCTGATGGTGGAAGAGAAGATAGGGAAAATATCATAGTCAAAAGGACTTTCTCCAAAAAACTGATCAAAAAGGCGGCTTGGATAGAAAGAAGCTAGAGGACGTCTGAACCAGGGATACTGAATCGCAAGGTCCATTCTCTCCTGCTGGCTATTCACAAAGCTGCAAGGCTGTGAGTCCCAGTCACTAGTCACATTTATATACTTGTGGTAATGAATAAAGCAGCAGTCTGGATGATTCTGGAATGACAAACTCATGACGAAAGTTGGAAAAACTGTTGGTTGTCAGCAGATGGTGGACGGGTGACTGGGCAGGACTCTCCCAGCTTTGCTGACAGTGCAAGTTAACTCTTCAAATCAACAGTGTGTTCAGGCAAAGGAAGATAAGACAAGAGGCTGTCAGAATATTTCCATAATCATAATACTCTGAACAGTCAGCCCCATGACATGTTTGAAACTCCGCCATGTGGATAACACATGAGTATTAGGGGACAGACAGTGTATATCTTAATCATTCTTGGGTTGTCAAGAGTCACTGTCAAGGCTAGTAATTATTGTCCATCCTTAAATTACTTTGACCTTCTTGAACTACTGCCAGTCTATAAGCTGTTGGTAGATACACAATGCCGTTAGGGAGGGAACTCCAGGACTTTTACCCAGTGACAGTGAAAGAATGACGATACATTTCCAAGTCAGGATAGTGAGAGTCTTGCAGGGAAACTTATAGCTCTCTGATGCGAAGATATTTTGAACGAGGACTTAATCCTGAGGAACTCCAGCATAGATGGCCCTTGACTGAAATGGTTGACAATGGGGAGGTGATGGCCTAGTGGTATTATTACTAGCATGTTAATCCAGAATCCCAGGTAATATTCTGGAGACCTGGGTTTAAATCCCACAACAGCAGATGGTGGAATTAGAATTCAATAAATAAATATAGAATTAGGAGTCTAATGATGACCATGAATCAATTATCAGAAAACCCATCAAGTTCACTAATGCTCTTTAGGGAAAGAAGCTGCTATCCCACAGCAATGTGACTGACTATTAATTGCCCTTATGGATGGGCAATAAAGGCTAACCTAGCCAATGATGACCTTATCCTGTGAATGAATTTAAAAAATTCAATATCTTATGGTCCTAAAGGAAGTGGCTAATTAGATTGTTAATGCATTGGTTTTAATTTTACAAAATTTCCTCAAGCAATGTTCCATTAAATTGGAAAACAGCAAATGTGAGTCCTTTATTTAAAATGGAAGGGAGACAGAAAAGCAGGAAACTACAGGCCAGCTCTGACAGTAAGTGAGCTTGGGCTACAAGTCTGTAACTCCCTGAAAGTGGCTACACAAGTGGATAAGGTGGTCAAGAAGGATACAGCATGCTTGCCTTCATTGGTCAGAACATTGAGTATAAAAGTTGGCAAGTCCAGGTTATTTTTTTCAATTCATTCACGGGATGAGGGTATCGCTGACCAGGCAGTATTTATTGCCCATCCCTAATTGTTCAGAGTCAACCACATTGCTGTGGGTCTAGAGTCACATGTAGGCCAGACCAGGTAAGGATGGCAGTTTCCTTCCCTAAAGGGCATTAGTGAACTAGAAAGGTTTTTACAACAATCAACAATGGATTCATGTTTTTGATTCTTGATTCCAGATACTTTACTGAATTCAAATTCCACCATCTGCTGTGGCATGATTTGAAGCCAGGTCCCCAGAACATTGTCTGGGTCTCTGGATTAACAGTCCAGCGATAATACCACTAGACCACTGCCTCCCCAACTGCAAAAACTTTAGTTAGACCACATTTGGAGTACTGTGAGCCGTTCTGGTCACCGCACTATAAGCAGGTTGTGGAGGTTATGGAGATGGTGCAAAAAACATTTACCAGGGTGTTGCCTGAATTGCAGTGTAATATCTATACGGAGAGGTTGGACAAACTTGGATTGATTTTGCCAGGGTCAGAGGCTGATAGGCGAACTGATGGAAGTATGTGAAATTATGAGAGATATAGATAGGATTGAATAGTCAGAGTCTTTCTCTGACATGTAGGAAGATAGTTGTGGTTGTTGGAGATCAGTCATCTCAGCTCCAGGACATCTTTGCAGGAGTTCACCAGGGTGATGTCCTAGGTCCAACCAGCTTCAGCTGCTTCATCAATGACCTTCTCTCCATCAAAAGGTCAGAAGTGGGGATATTTCCTGATGATTGCACAATGTTCAGCACCATTTACAACTCCTCAGATACTGAACCAGTCCATGTTCAAATGCAACAAGGTCTGGACAAAATCCAGCTTGGCAAGTAACATTCATGCCACACAAACGCCAAGCAATGATCATCACCAATAAGAGACAATCTAACCACTATCCTTTGACATTCGATGGTTATTACTTTATCAACCATCATTATCAACATCCTGGGGGTTATCATTAACCAGAAATTCAACTGGACTCACCATATAAACAAAGAACAATACAGCACAGGAACAAGACCTTCGGCCCTCCAAGCCTGCGCCAACACGTTTGCCCTTCCATATTAAAACTGTCTTCACTTACAGGATCTGTATCCCTCTATTCCCTTCCTATTCATGTATTCATCCAGGTGCTAAAGTTCTATAAAGCTGCAGCATAACATGTCTATTCTTATACTCAATGCCTCTTTCAATGAAAGCAAGCATGCCATAGACCTTTTTTACTACATTATCTACTGCGCTGCCACCTTCAGCGATCTGTGGACCTGCACACCCAAATCCCTCTGCATGTCAATACCCTGAAGGGTTCTGTCATTCGCTGTATAATTTCCACCTGTACTTGACCTTCCAAAATGCATCATCTCACATTTGTCCAGATTAAACTCCATCTGCCATTTTTCTGCCCATGCCTCCAACTGATCTCCATCCTGCTGTATCCTCTGATAATCCTCTTCACTATCCACAACTCCATCAATCTTTTTATTGTCTGCAAACTTGCTAATTAGACCGGCTACGTTTACCTCCAAATCATTAATGTAGATCCCTTATTCATTCACAGGATGAGGGTGTCACTTTTTTGGCAGCATTTATTGCTCATCCCAGTTGCTCAGAGAATCAACCACATGGCTGTGGGTCTGGAGTCACATGTAGGCCACACCACGTAAGGATGGCTGTTTCCATCTCTAAAGGACATTAGTGAACCAACTAATGGTCGTAAAACCAACAATCGACAGGAGATTCATGGTCATCACTAGATCCTTAATTCAAGATAATTTTTAATTGAATTCAAATTCCACCATCTGCCGTAGCAGGATTCAAACCTAGAATGTTATCTTAGTCTCTGGATTAACAGTCCAGTGATAATACCTCTAGGCCATTGCCTCCCCTGATCATAAGATCATGAACAGCAGAGGTCCCAGCATTGATCCCTATGGAACACCACTAGTCACAGCCCTCCATTCCAAAAAGCATCCTTCAACCGCTACACTCTGTCTCCTATGATTAAACCAGTTCTGTATCCATATTGCCAGCTCACCCTTGATACCATGTGACTTTACATTTTGTACCAGTCTGCCATGAGGGACTTCATCAAAGGTTTTATTGAGTCCACGTAGACATCAACTGCTTCTCCCTCACAATCATCTTCGTCACCTCCAAAAATATCTTAATCAAGTTAGTGAGGCACGATCTTCACCACACAAAACCATGCTGTTTATCGTTAATCAGTCTATTTGCTTCTAAATGGTTATAGACCAATCCCTAAGGATCTTTTCCAATTATTTCCCTCCCACCAACGTGAGGCTCACAGGCCTGTAATTCCTGGATTATCCCTGTTATCCTTTCTAAACAATGGGACAAAATTAGCTATTCTCCAAACCTCTGGGACCATACCTGTGGCCAAAAAGGATACAAAGAAGTCTGTCAATGCTCCAGCAATTTGTTCTCTTGCATCCCTCAATATTCTGGGATAGATCCCATGAGGACCCAGGGATTTATCTTACACATCCGCTACAAGAGCAGGTTGAATCTGTTGGGAGGAAAGATACACCAACACCAGCGATGATGACCAGGCCAACATTGAAGCACTGACCAACCTTGATCAGCTACGATGGGCTGGGTATATCATCCACATGACCAACATGAGACTCCCCAAGCAGGAGCTCCTGCTTCGAAGTAGCAGGCGAGCCCCAGGTGGACAGAGAAAGCGCTTCAGGGATACCCTCAAGGCTCCATTGGTGAAATGCAGCATTCCTACAGACACCTGGGATTCACTGACCCAAGAACTCCCAAAGTGGAGAAGGAGCATCCGGAAGCTACAACATGATTTGCCAACCTTTATATTCAATGCCAACAATGTTCTAAGAAGGGTCACCGGACCTGAAATGTTAACTCTGTTTTTCCCTTCACAGATGCTGCCAGACCTGCTGAGCTTTTCCAGCAACTTTGGTTTTGTTCCTTTATATTCAATGCCCTGACTGATGAAGGCAAGCATGCCATACAGCTTCGTTACCACCTTATCCACTTTCAGGGAGCTATAGACTTGGACCCCAAAATCCCTCATTGCTTCTAAGGGTCCTGCTATTTACTGTATACTGTCCTTTTTCATTTGACCTCCCAAAATACATCATCCCATACTTGCCTGGACTAAACTCCATCTGCCATTTCTGTGCCTAATTTTCCAATTGATCTAACTCCTGCTGTATCCTCTGACAACCTCCCTCAACCATCACAACTCCAGCAATTTTCATAGAATCTCAGAATCCCTACAGTACAGGAAGAGGCCATTCAGTCCATCAAGTCTGCACCGACCCTCTGAAGAGCATCCCACACAAACCCAGCCCTTCTACCCTATTCCCAGGACCCAGCATTTGTCATGACTAATCCACCTAGCCTGCACATCCTGGGATACTATGGACAATTTTGCATGGCCAATCTAACTAACTCATACATGTTTGGACTGTGGGAGGAAACCAGAGCAACTGGTGGAAACCCATGAAGACACAAGGAGAACGTGCAAACTCCACGCAATCATTGAAG